ACAGCCATGTTCATTTGTGTATGGATTGTCTATAGTTACTTCCATACTTCATTGGCAGAATTGAGTAATTGGGACAGAGATCTTATGGCCTGCAAAATCTATAATATTTACTAACTGGCTCTCTCAGAAAAAAAGTTTGCTGACCCTGTTTTAGATTAATCAGACCCCACTTCTGCATTCGAAAGTAAAAGATATATCTCATTTATTAGCCTAGTGGTTACACAGCTGAAGACAAGTAAAATGGATGAAAGAAAAACAAACCATGTCTACCATACTCCTCATCGACTCAGTGGGTATGACAATACTTGCTATAAAGAAGGTTCAGTATTTTGCTATCAAATGATCAACCTTAACACATGAGCAGAAGCAAGCAGAAATATTCTTTAGCATCAGGGATAAGGGTACGAAGAATAACAATATTTATTTTACTACAGTTCCCTATCTAGCTCAGAGACCCACTCACCAACAGACTGGACTCTCAGCTCTGTCTGCAAATCTAGTGCCCCTCAGGTCTGGTAAACCTAAGAACTACTCCCAGACTTCTACATATCACGGTCTGGGGAGGGAGGCACAGGTGGTTCTTAGCCAAGCAAGACTTATCTGAAAACATTCATTCATTTAACAAATATTTACTGAACATCTGATTCAAGCAAAAGAAGGGTACAAAATGGGGCCATCCTAAAGTTTACCCTCATGGAGCTTTGCCCATGCCCATGGAGCTTTCCAGAAATCTTTTAGTGACTACCCTTTTTAAATCTCATTTTTTAATATAAAGTGTAATGCTTCCTGATAAAGAAATAGAACACTTCCAGCCTTTCAGGATTAGCCTTCAATACCTCCTAGCCCTGTGAGCCTTCCTTCCAAAATTCTTCTCTCTTTAGAGGTAACCACTATCCTGACTTTTGTGAAATTACTTTCTTGCTTTGTTTTATACTTTTACCATCTAAGTGTACATGCCTAAATGATTTAATTTAGTTTTCTCTGTTTTGTAACTTAATGTAAATATGATCACACACTATGTACTTTTTTGTCTTGATATTAAGATTCATCCATATTTTGTGAGTGACACTATTATGATTTTTGAATAGCATTTCATTGTGTGACTCAGCCACACTGCAGGTATCCATTCTACAGGTGAATGTGAAAGTCGTTCAGTTGTGTCCGACTCTTCGCAATTCCATGGACTATACAATCCATGGAATTCTCCAGGCCAGAATACTGGAGTGGGTAGCCATTCCCTTCTCCAGGGAATCTTCCCAATGCAGGGATCAAACCCAGGTCTCCTGCATTGCAGGTGGATGCTTTACCGGCTGGGCCACCAGGGAAGCCCCCACATGGGATGTTTCCAATTTGAGGCTATTGCAAACAGTGCTGCTATAAGCTTGCTTGTGCATGCCTCCTGTAGCATTTTGGCATCAGTTTCTCTAGGGCATGATACCCAGGAGCGCAATTGTTAGGTCACAATGTAAGAGGATCCTTGACTGTATTGCTGCTGCTGATAAGTTGCTTCAATCGTGTCTGACTGTATTCGACTCCACAGATGGCAGCCCACCAGGCTCCCCCGTCCCTGGGATTCTCCAGGCAAGAACATTGGAGTGGGTTGCCATTTCCTTCTTCAATGCATGAAAGTGAAAAGTGAAAGTGAAGCTGCTCAGTCGTGTCTGACTCGGCGACCCCATGGACTGCAGCTCACCAGGCTCCTCCATCCATGGGATATTCCAGGCAAGAGTACTGGAATGGGGTGCCATTGCCCTCTCCCTCGACTGTATTAGGTCATGCCAAATTGTTTTTCAGAGTCCTACCAACTGACATACTTAACAGTGGAACAGTGTTCCCATTACTCCAGATCCTTGCCAGCACTAGATACCATCTGACTTTTAAATTCTTGCTAATCTGATATGTGTGTTTAGAGTCATCTCATATGGTCTTAATTGGCATTTCCCTGATTCAATGGAAATTCACCTTTTCATATGTATTTTGGCCATATGGATTCCTTTTTATGAATTGCTGTTTAAGGGCTTCCCTGGTGGCTCAGGATGGTAAAGAAACTGCCTGCAACACAAGAGACCCAGGTTCAGTCTCTGGGTGGGGAAGGTACCTTGGAGAAGGGCATGGCAACCCTCTCCAGTATTCTTACCTGGAAAATTCCATGGACAGAGGAGCCTGGTGGGCTATAGTCTATGGGGTCACAAAGAGTCAGACATGACTGAGTGACTAACACATACATTTAAGTCTTTTGGCCATTTGTCTACTGGGCTGAGATGCTGGACATCTTTCACTTGCCTCTTCAGATACATTCACAACTCCTTCACTCCACTCTATGTCCTTGGAGTCTGATCCTGATGAGTTGTAGCCCTGGGCAACCTGATCCTCTGACTTCAGCACTGGACCATTGAGGAGCATTGGAGGGAGAGATGGAGGAAAGGAGGGATGAAAGGAGACAGGGAAGAAAAAAAGGGAAGAGAAAGGGATGGGTATTTTGTTCTTCAATTCGCTCTCTGCTTGGGCTTCCCTGGTGGTTCAGTGGTAAAGAATCTGCCTGCTATTGCAGGAGACATGGATTTGAGCCTTGGGTTGGGAAGATCCCCTGGGGAAGCAACTGAAATGGCAACCCATTCCAGTACTCTTGCCTGGGAAATTCCATAGACCGAGGAGCTTGGTGGTCTATAGTCCATGGGGTTGCAAAAGAGTCAGACACAACTTAACGACTAAACAACAACAATTTCTCTGCTGAGTCACTAGGGGCTGACTCTATTTTTGATCCAACGTCACAGCTCCTGGCAGGCAGCTCTCTCCAACAGTTCTTTCTGTTTCTGAGTTCTAGGAACCATTACTTCTCCTTGTCCTTTCAGACTTGAAGGACTACTCTTATGACATCGCTACATACCACTCTCAACTTTGTAAACTGTCTAATTATAAGGCTTTCCATAAATTTGCCAATATGAGTTTTCCAGCTGTTTCCTGACACAGGTGATTGTCATTTTGTAATGCATTTTCAGGAGTCCTGTATTGTGTTTGGGATATATTCCTTTGTTCGTTATGTGTGTATAAGTATCTTCTCCCACTCAAATCACTTTCTTCACAGTGGCTTAAAAAACCTTTTTATCAGAAAATAAAATGCACATTTATAAAATCACATGAAGCAAAGAATAGGTTAATGGATTATCATGTACCCAAATGTTCATTGCAGCACCATTTACAATAGTCAGGACATGAAAGCAACCTAAATGTCCATTAATGGATGAGTGAATAAAGAAGATGTGATATATTTATACAATGAAATATTACTCAGCCATAATAAAGAACAAAATAATGCCATTCCTAGAGACATGGATTGACCTAGAGGTTGTCATACTGAGTGAAGTCAGATAAAGACAAATATTATGTAATATTGCTTAAATGTGGAATCTAAAATAAAGATAACAAATTAACTTATTTACAAATAGAAATAGAATCACAGATATAGAAAACAAAACCTATGGTTACTAAGGGGGAAAGGAGGGAGGGGTAAACTGGGAGACTGGGATTGGCAGATACACACTGCGATATATAAAATAGAAGGCACAGGGAACTCTCCTCAATACTAAGTAGTGACATATATGGGTAAAGAATCTAAAAGAGGGGATATATATATATATATATATATATATATATATATATATATATATAACTGATTCACTTTGCTGTACAACAGAAACTAACAGAACATTGTAAATCAACTGTGAGCCAATAAAAGTTAATTTTAAAAGAAAAGAGCCTTTTTATCATAAAATAAAATGTAAATACAGAAAATTGCACAAAACAAAGAATAACTTAGTGGGTTATTTTAAGTTAGACACCCTCGTAAATACCAATCAAGATCAAACGAGAACCCTCCTCTTGTTTCCTATCAGGCTTAGGTCAAAAAAACTTAAAAATGGGTCAGTTGAAACTTGCACATCTTAGGATGGCACCCATGACCCCACATGATGTGGTCCCACAGCACGTCCTCCCCACCTGCCTTCTATGCTCCAGGTTATTGGCCTTGACCCTGTTTCTCAAACATGCCATATTCTTTTGGATTTAGGGTTATTACATTAAATTAGCTATCTTCTCCCCTAGTTTCTGCTTACAGGTATACCCCTCAGATAGTTCTATACCTATTAAAGAAATTGAATTTATACAGTGGGGAGTATTGCCTCCCCTTCTGTCTTCTGGAAGAGTTGGTAGAGAATTGGTATTATTTCTTCCCTTAATGTTTGATAGACTTCATCAACAAAACCATCCTGGCCTGGAGTGTTTTTGTGGCAAAGTTTTCAAGTATACATTCTGGGATGGTGTTAGGCTAGAGATGAGGATCTGGAGTTACTGACAAAATTCAAGGTTTTGAAAGCTGCATTTTGAGGCTGGGGAATATCTAGATGGTTGGAGGTGGTATCATTGTGTCAAAGTGCTTGGGCTTTGAAGCCAGACTTAAGTGTGTGTGAATCCTCCCTCCACCACTCACTAGTGAAGTGGCCCTGGTTATGTTACTCTTCGTGCCTCCAGCTCCTCATCTACAAAGTGGGGACTGTATACTTTCCTCTCAGGGTTATCGGGAGCATTAAGAATGCATGTAAATCTCCTGGCATTAGTAGTAGTAGATGTTGGAAGCATTGGAACCATTCCTCACCTGATAAAAGTTACTTGAATTACAGTCATAGTGCCTGGAAGTAAGTAAACATCATAGTTTTTCAAACCCAAAGATTTGAAATGTTAACTCATGTTCCACATTACCAAAACAATCTAGACAAATGCTTACACAGACCTGGACTGGGGTGGGGCCCGGGTGTAGGAGTCTTGGTGAACATAACTGTCACATAGGAATAGTTCTGTACAACTAATTCACATTTGCTTTGCAGTAGTTGGTAAAGTGGTAAATGTCTTCGACAGGAGAGAATACAGTGGAGGCCAGGTTTTAGAGGATAAACAAGGATTTTGAAGTCAGCAAGACCAGGGTTCAATCTCCAGTGTGTCTTAACCTCACCCTTAAATGTGAATTTAAGTTGAGGGGAGGGCTGCAGAAATACTGACTTCCTATTGATAACCTCCTTGGTATGAGCAGCCCACATCAGCCCCTTTAGAATCGACATATTTAATAAATATGTCAACTGGCATCTTTGTCATTTTTACTTTAATGCAGCTCGTCAGGAGCTTAGCATTGAGGAGCCCTTGAATTTGAAGCTTACAGAGCAATTAAACTCCCTCCTGGGAGAATCCAGACCTGGAGATTGTCAGTGCATAGAGATAAGCAATTGTGTATTCATCTCCCTCTTGCCAGAAAAATGGAACACTCCGAAGTTCATCAAGGACTTACACTGTATTTCAATAAGCTGTGTGTACATTGCATTCTATGTAATGAATCTAGAAAACTACTCAGCTAATAAACTCAGGGAACCAGCCCATCTTCTATTAATTTCCTTTAATTAGCTATCATCAGGAGAGCATTGAATGTCTGCCTGAAGTGATTCCTACCCCCCTAATGGGAATGATCAGCAATGTTGAACCAACCTTGGCCTTGCTGATAAGCAAAATGCTGACATATCCATGCTGTCATCTCCTGACAAAGCTCTGAGTCAGATGTGGCAGACAGCATTATTACCCCCATCAGATCCTGGATCTCAGAGAGATGAAGTAACTTGCCCAAGGTCACAGAGAGTTTCTCTGAATCTGCAGTCAGGTCATTAAAAGTGTGGGCTCTGGACTCAGGTACATCTGTGTTCAAATCCCAGCTCTGAAGCTAGCTATGTGACTGACTATGGTGGCCCTGGCCAGCACCCACTCTTGCCCCCTTGCCCTCATCATTTGGAACACTGCGCAGCTTCTGACTGCCAGCAGCTGCATTTATATGGCCACTCGAGACTGCTTTGGCTCCGACCACAGCGGTCTAGAAATGACAGGGAATTTAGGCTCATTGTGAGCAGCTGACTGGAGTTGGTGAAAAATACCCATCTCTCTCATCCCAGGAGTGTGATCATCCTAAGATGTAAGTACACTGTCTCCCCAAGCTTCCCCAGGAGGTAGGTTCTGGTTATCTGCAGTGGCAGCTGGCTTGCTAATGAACATTTCATTGGCTGCCTACTCTCATCATCTCATTTTTCCATTTCCTTACTGTTTTTTCTTGAGACCCCTTCTTACATAAATCCCTCGTACTTGGGTCCTTACTCCAGGGCCTGTTTGGGGATAACCTGAACTAAGTGACCTTTGAAAAGTCACTTAACTCTGCTCAGATCCTCAGTTTCCTAATCTGTAAAAGAAGGAATTTATATAGTACTAACCTCAAAGGTCTATAGGGAAGTTTAAAGGACACATTGCAAATGAAGGGTTTTGTATGTTTCTGTTCATAACAGCAAAATTTTAACATCAAAAAAATGGGAAATAACCTAAATGTCTAACAAGAAAGAATGGGTAAATATATTAGGTTTATCTGTATGATAGAATGGACATGAACTTGGGGAGGCTCCCCAGGAGATAGTGAGGGGCAGGGAGGCCTGAAGTGCTGCAGCCATGGGGTCACAAAGACTCAGACATGACTTAGTGACTGAACAACAACAGTATGATAGAATATCACATAATCAGTAAAAATTATTTTCAATGAGTATCTGAAGACATGGAGAACTGTACATGAACACGACATATTACACATCTAGCAGGGGAGCTCAGTGGGGGGAAATGTCTTAAACTATTAGCATGAAATTATGAAGAGTTGTTAAAATATACTTAAAATACATAGAGTTATCTTTGGATAAATGTCAAATGTCTTATATTTTTAATCATAAAAAAGGAAACATTACTTACAGAAATTGATTAAGATCTCAACAATAATAAAATATAAAGGGTTTCCCTGGTGGCTCAGTGGTGAAGAATCCATCTGCAAATGCAGAAGACATGGGTTCGATCCCTGATCTGGGAAGATCCCACATGCAGTGGAGCAGCTGGGCTCATGTGCCACAACTACTGAGCCTGCGCTCTAGAATCTGAGAGCTGCAACTGCTGAAGCCCAAGTGCCCAAGAGTCTGTGCTCTGAAACAGGAGAAGCTACGACAGTGAGAAGCCTGAGCGCTGCAACTATAGAGTAGCCCCCGCTAGTGCTTGGCACAACTAGAGAAAAGCCCATGTAGCAACGAAGACCCAGCCCAGCCAAAAATAAATCAATAAATAAAATTAAAAAAAAATAAAGATATCTTCAAAATGCATAACAAACATGTTGTTTTTATTTTCCTTTTTCCTGGTCAAATGCATTAATTATTAAAAGAAAATTCAAAAAAATATAAATAAAAGAAAATTCAGCTTTCATGCAATATCAGGGTAGACAAGCATGAGCAGGGCTGTGCAAAGGCTTAAGGAGTGTCTGAAGCTGAGGTTCTTTGAGCCCAAGCTTCAGGCTACTGCCCCTCTTCCCACCAAGTCTCTCCCTCCTTTGATCCTGCCCTGAGATGATTCTTCATAATTTTATTTCAGTCACTCTTCTGGCTACCTTTAGTGGTGGGAATTCCAAGCTGGAGTATCAAGTTGAGGCAACTTCGTCAACAGGCCCAGCATCAATAGCACATTTGATGCATCTTGCTTGACCCAGCTCTAGATTCATTTCTTCTGAGGACTCCTTGACCTACCTGTCCATGCCCCATGTTGATCATCCCTATACATCCAACTTCCCCCAAACTCCATTTACTTCCCACATTGTAGGTAGAAATTATTCTTAAGAAGTAGAAAGACCATCTATCCATTCATCTTTCCAGCCTTTCACTCAGCATATAACCACTGGATATGCAATGCTATGTGATCACTTGCTAGGTTCTTGGAATAAAGAGTTGACTCAGACACTGTCCCCACCAAACTTACCAGTCGTGGGATAGCAAAGACAAGGCACTCCTGCCTCACTTGAGCCTCCTGTACCCATGTCTAGCAGGTGCTTTTTTGCTGCCTGCCTTGCCACTCCTCAACTCCTCTGATTTCAGCACAGCTATGGTGGACAGTTCCAGGCATCTGGAACTGGGCTGGGGCTGTGTCAGGGATCAGCCTTGCAGAGCAAGACAGGAAGTGAAGGGGAATTTATACCCAAGGAGGCAACCCTCAGCTGTCTCCCTGTCTTCTGGGGAGACAACTCTGGGGAGTGCTTTCGCGCCAGTTCCAAGAAAGTTTCTGGAGGGATTGAGGCCCTTTCCCCTCAGTGATAATTAGCTCATTAGCACACCATTTACTGGGTTTTCTCCCTGTCCTGCGTCACTTTTGCCTCTCCCTTATCTCTGCTTCCAGCTATCACTTGGAGTTTAAGCTGCTTGCTCTCAGTTTCTTGTTCCAGTCTCTGCTTTTGAAAGAACTCAAACTAAGATATCATGGCAGGCATTATGAGTGAAAGGAAGGAAGGAAAGAAAGAAGGGAGGAATGGAGGGAAGATAAAAGAAAGAGGGAGAGAGAGAAAGATAGGAAGGAAGTTTGATGGTATAACGAGAGGAGAGAAGGATGCTGGAGGTGGATGAATGACCCCCTCTTTGATGAAGGAAGGAGGTGGATGAACGACCACCTGCTTTGATGAAAGAAGACCCTGTCACCTCAGTATCCATTAGTGATGAAAGTCCATAGCTTCCTATGTGTGTTCCACCCTGTTGGCTTGACTGATTATCTTGGAAACACTGAGCCTACGAGTAATGTGGGTGACTAATAATAATAGTTACCCTCGAAGGAACACTTCCATTTGCTAGGGACTTTATTTATATCGTGTCATTTAATTTTCACAAATCTCTTCTGACCTAGGCACTAATTAATCCCATTTTGTAAGTGAAGACCCTGTGGTTCATTGAGGTGGCTCAAGGTCATACAGTGGCAGAGCTAGATCTCAGCTGGGTCAGTCAGATACCAGAGTCCATCATCCTGTGTGCCCCTCTCTACATGAGTCTATCACAGCATCCAATAAGTGTCCCACTTCTCCAGTTGCTTGGCAAGCAATTTACATGCATGCTCTTGAAATCTGGGTGGGCCTTCTCACAGGGTCTATGGTGGCCCATAGCAGGCCCTATGCAGTGAAGTGCAGTAAATAAAGCACAAGTCCATTTGCTACTCACCATTAACCAACACTTAAGATAAAACATTGCTTTATTTATTCTCTCTAGCAGCTCAAAATGCTCCACGGTGTCTGTTACACGGTGATGTTAATTAGGTCCGCAGCATTGCACCTTCTGTAGGCAAGGTTCACCGAGTCACCCACTGGCCTCATCTCTCCGGAGGCCTCTGGTTCAGCACCAGGTCTGAGGACAGAAAGAATCTTTGGGAGGCCTGCATCACCACCAGTGTTGCTGAGCTGAGTATGGATTTTTACTACCTATACCTCTTGCCTAAGCATTGTTCTAGAAACCTGACATGATTTTCAAGGTTGAAATGAGATCCTCTTTCAAGGGCAATTGGGTTGGAGGGGTCCTAGAACTCCCTAAGTGGCAGAATTGTAGGAGCCTTTAGTGATCACCTACTTCAACAGGCTCATTTTATAGATGTGCGAGCTGAGGTTGGGAGATGGAGACTGACTTTTCTAACGTTGCATGAATGCTAGTAGACTGGGATTTGATTCTGGATATTTTTGTTTCCAGTTCAGGCTCTTTCCAATGGATCATTTTGAAGTCCCCATCCCTTGCCCTCACCCCCTCCCTTTGTGTGGCTGTAGAATGGATGCATGTGGAGAATGTTAGTTCCTTTTTCCCACTGGGTCCATTTCCCCTGAAGTTCCTTAAGTAATCCCATGGATCAAGCAGAACACTCATTCTTAATTCCATTCTGCAGGGGAGATTGAGGTTCAGAGGGAAGACAACAGCAGCTGAATCAGGCTTAAATCCAGCCTTCTGACTTGGCACTTTTTTTAATAACCACATGGCCTCCTTGAGGATGAATGAATGAATGAATGGATTCTAAACATGCTAAAGAATGAATTCAGGCATGCACAATGAACAAGGCTTAACATTTGAAAATCCCCATCCCACGTATTTGCATTTCAGCAAAGGCAAAGTCTCAGGGCCCACAGAGCTGCTTTGCTCTGCGTTTATTCATGGCACTCTCCACGTCCAAATACCGCCCAGGACTCAGCCTGGGTTACAGCAGGCCCTGA